CAATAGGTGTTAATTAGGTGTCAACGATAGCCATGTGATGTGAGTATCAGTCACATGGAGGCAGGGCTTAAAAGCTTGGAGAAGAGACGAAACGTTTCATTAGAGAAGAACCCGTCCAGAAGACCTATACAATTTTTTTTCTTTCTCTTCTGTTAATAAATCCATAACACAAACAGCTTTTCTAACATTATTTAAAACATTATATCATATAAACTGTAAAATATTAACAATAATTGGGTTAATATTATTATTAATAGTTTTAATGATTTCTACATCGTCAGTCCTTTTTTTCTGCTCTTTTGTCAACATGTACAGTAATGGGAAATCCAGAGTCTTGCCCATTTAGCGTTAGCCGTTAGCTTCACCAGCCCACCACACGGTCACGTGGTTTCTGCACACTCCAGCTGTTCTACATAAACTCCTTGAGCACAAAGCTTCCTGCCAGTTTTGCACAGAGATTCTAATTATTTGGAARCATGTGCCATGTTACTTTAAGTGATATACAGTGTTGTTAAAATAATCACCATATACTGTAGGTCACAATATTTATTATAGATCACGACCTCCATTTCCCAAATGGTTTTGTGTTTACTATTGTCTGCTAATGAGATTTGAAAAATGGTTGGGAGAACAATGCCCGCCCGACCTTCAATAACCTGCAGATGTGTCTGCTGTCATTCCCAGTGAACCCCGCGTCACATCCTGACCCTGCAGTTGATCCTGCTCTGTAGTGTGTGTTTTGTGTGCACGATCGAYGTATACGTCGAACCGCGTTTTTTCACGTTGCTGTTTATGCGCGCGTGTGTTTTGCAGGAAGCGTGCCTGGCACGAGGCCTGCTGGAGCTGGGGAGTTCACGCGGAGGGCTTTTCAGGCAGGGAAGCTTGATTTAACAGAGGTGAGCTAGAGAAGCGTGCAAAACGTGACGACTCTGATTTGTGCAGGTTTGTGTGTCACGAGCTTTTTAGAGTTATGTCAGCCCAGAGGGTAAGTGAGAATTAAATAGGGTCAAAACCCAACAGAAATTTCAGTGTGTAAAATGTAGACAAGAGAAATTCACCCTTTGGCATTTGGATCATTAAGATGCCAAAGATTCATGCATAAATTCAACTACTGGGCCTCTGTAGCTTTTACATATTGAAATATTCAGGTCTGTAATAAAATGCTGTTAGATCTTTTTTCTTGTTTACAGTAAATTGAATGTTCATGAATACGATGAAAATAGTGTTTTCAACATTAATGAGCACAATGCATTGCAAAAGACATTTGCTACATGTTATATGATATAATAAATGTTAACTTTCCTTACATGAATCTGCCAGTGATGTCAGCAAGAACTAAGCGTTACAATTTTACAATCACACAATAGTTTTTTTAAAAACAAATGATTGGTCCTATATGGAAAAAAGTATCCTGTTTATTAATGCAGATAAAAGACAAATAACAGTAAAAACGTTGCAGTTATGAGTGTAAAATTCTTTGAAGGTGGAGGGTCTCGGGGACCTGATCCACGCAGAGACAGAGGCTCAGAGGAGACAGGCTCTGCGACAGATGTCAGGAGATCTGGGACGACTTTATCAGGACTGGAGCCACAGACTGAAGMGAGTAAGTCTTCTGTTGGTGGAGAGTCGTGTTGCACCTGAACATATTTGTGTTACTGATGAACAGCTTGTAGTTTACGCTGCATTAATCCAGTCTAAYACCAGATTTCCAGGTTGTTGGTCACACACTGAATTTATCTTTATTTCTGATGGTAAAAGGAAACATTTATGATCGATGTCAATGCTCCTCGTCTCATTGCTACGGCTGAGCACTGCTAACAAACAATAACTGAGCTCTACCTGGTATTTCCTGCRTAGAAACAGTGTTTTAACACATCCTCTTACCAACACTGAAAAGTACTACATGGACGATGGATTAAATGTGAAATAGAAAATACAGAAATACTATTAAAAGTAAAAGTAAGAAAGTTTCACTCACTGTTGAGTTGTGCTGAGTAGCTGCCATCTTGACTTCTGAGCTCTCCCACTTTCCGACAGGGAATTCCCACTGGAGGGAGCGTTCCAGTTTGAGTTTACGACTTGCAAGTGGGAAATTCCCAGTGCAACTGGGCCACAGCAAAAGTAGTGGGCAAAATTTGCTGTGTAAAATTTCCATTTTGCTGCGTTTTTGCCTGCTAATTTAGAACCCTGTGCAACTCCGCCTAGTGGTGGGATGATGTTATTTTGCRGATAAAARTAAAAATAAAAATTCACATGCATTATGGGGGGTGTAGCTTATGGYTTTAAAGCAGCTTATTTTAAAACAACAACTTTGAAGCTGTCATGGACCACATAAAATTCTGTGGTGGGCCACATTTGGYCTGCRGGCCATGAGTTTGACATGTGATTTATGGCATAAGAAAYTTGATTAAAAGCGGAGGTTGCAACAAYAATGAGTAAAATAAAACTAGTCTTTAATTTGATTTGCAGTATGTGTTTCAGACACTGTATTTTCATCTGAAGAGAACTCTTATTGTTTAAAAGGAAACACACTGAGCACGAGTGACCTCTTGGACCTGGTTTATTGCAGCTAAACTGCAGCCAAAAAAAGCTTTTTTGTTAAGCGAGCAGAAAGTTGCGTAGAGGGAGTTCATGTTTTCTCCATCATGTCGACTGAACAGAAGGGCTGTTCAGAATTCCTGTTTGGAAACAATATTCATCAAAGCAGAATCAAGCTAAGCTTCCATCATTTTCCCTGAAGAGACTTTGGAAAGAACCAGTTCAGAGCTCATCATTTTTACACTTACACAATGCTTTAGTTTGTTTTTTTCCCACCCTTTTCTTTTTTATCAGTAGAGCTGCGTTTAAATGATGTAGAGCCTTCCTGTTTTCATGCTGCTGCAGCACATGTGGTAAATGTGGTACGTGTGTTCGTGTTTTACACTGAAAATAAAAAGAAGTAAATTCTGAATCAGCTGAAAAGCTGCATCTTTGTTCATATGTTAATATAAAAAGTCACATTTTTCCATCTGTGTAGGTAGCAAATCCWAAAAATGTTTTGTTTTCCATCTTTTATTGTCTCTGTGTTGTGTTTATAAAGATAAATTGTGACATACTGTGTACCACCTTCACTTGCCATGTATTGTTCTTATCTGTAATGTATCCTGTGTAGGTTGCGTGTATAGGTGGTCAAAGTACAGTTTGTCCTGAAGGAAAGCAAAAAGTGAGAGTAAAAAAAAAGTCATCCAAAAGTTCAGAACATTACTTAAATAAAATACACCTTTTTGATTTAGCATGATTGTTAAACTGCTGAAGTCACCTTTTATATAAAGTTCTTTAAATTAAAAGGCTTTTTTATTTACAATTAATAGCCACTAAGCTCTAATATTTGTCTTTTTTTTACATTTAAACCTGATACAGATCAGTTTCCCCCTGTTTGCGCCTGAGGTGATACRGTACAGAAGGTCAGTGACCACAGCTGAACATTTCATCTCGGTGGAAGGTGGCCAAAGCTTCTTGCTCTGTGAGCTGTTTTGGCACCAGATCTGACCATTCGATCCAGGTGTTCTCCCCGGAGAAGCTTTGTTAAGCTGCTTGTYAGCAGCTTTGTTAGAGAGGCGATTCTTCCAGCAGCACGTCATTCTTTTGAGCTCAGACTTCTGAGAATGCAGTTAATCAGAAATATGCMATCTGTATGATGACAGGGGTCAAATCTCCACCTGACACCCAAACAATGCTACCTTTTTAAACCGCTGGCTTCCCACATTACTGAACGGGCCAAAGCGCTGGAGTCGGATGCTTCCTGTTTTTCTACAGCTATACTGCTATTGTGTGTAGGTTCCACAATATTAGATTGTGTTTTAATGGAAATATTAAAGTGTTTTTCCTTATGTAGTTCAGATTAAGATCAATAGTAAACAAGTTGCATGGAGGCAAAACTGCAGCTCGACAGAACTGTGGGAATTTTCAGTAAGGTCTTGGAAGATAAATAGTTTTAGTGTCTTAATAGATCTGTGAAATGCAAACGTACAGCGTAGCAGCGTGCTGATGCTGTGTAGGTTTGCAGTGTTGCACAGGACTAATTGAAAAATATCATCTGGACAGATGAGACCAAAGTGTAAAATGTTTAACCTGACACAAGGAATGCGCAAAAAATAATCATATAAGAATCACATTTTTCATTTGCAACGATTCAGGATTGATTCACTGCAAACGTTCATCTAACAAAGTGTCCTGACGTAATCCAGGTAGAAAACCATTAAAACAGTTGAGTTATCTGGACCGGAACCACCTATTTTTATCTTGTTCCAAGACTGATTTACTAAACAAAAGCAGAATGTAATCTAATAAAGTTCATTGTGTCTATAAAATCAATCTACTACATTTTCCTAATTACTAGACACTTTTTTATTTTTTATGTCTATACAGACATACCTGACATGTTTCGACGTGTACTTCCGTCTTCATCAGAGGTGTCACAGCTGATGTCTGTATAGACATAAAAAATAAAAAAGTGTCTAGWAATTAGGAAAACGTAGTAAAAAGCAGAATGTGTTAGATTATTRATTGTCTTAGTCTGGACATTTTTCCTTATTTCAAAATGTTTCATTTAGTGTAATTGTCTCACTTCACAGGCAGGTTCCAYCCATCCATTTTCTTTTATCCGCTTCTTTATTCTGGGTCACAGGATCACTGGTGCCATATCCASCAGTCAGTGTGCAAGGGGCAAGGTACACTGTCCATSACAGGACCACAAAGCGACAAACGAGAAAAACCATTATTCACTGTTCTCYACAGCACAGTTTGACTTGGCTGGACTCTGTTCAGCACGGTTCGGGTGGTTTTTCATTACACTTCAGTAACAGCTCTAGTGGGTGGGTTCATTGTAAGTTTGGGTGGTCCCAGAGTTAAAAAACTGCTGCCACACGCCTTACCAGCTGGTGGCGTTATGCTCCATTGAACTGTTTGCTAGCTACCATTAAACAGAGTAGAAGAAGAAGATCCCAAAACGAAACGCAACACAACAATGGAGGACACGGTAGTGTTGTTGCAAATGGCGAATCAGGTTCTTGTGACATTACCACCTCCTAACCAATCACTGATCGACAGTCTTCTTATGTCGCATTTTCAGGCAAGCCAGTCACTTAGAACCACAGTGACATAAGTTCTGTAAAAGGTTCTGGTTCCATGAGTCCTTGCTAGTGGAAAAGCCTTGAAACTGTGGAGAGCCAAGTCGATCCATGCTGTAGAGACTGGTGGAAAAAGGGCGATAGAGTTACCAACCAACCCAACAGTCATGTTTTTGGTCTGTGGGAGAAAACGTAATGTTATGCATATAACTACTGTTCCCTGAAGGAAAGGAACGAGGTACAACAT